AATGGTTTTTCAACATTTATGTTACATGAGCTCGCGCGAGCTACTTTCGCAAGCTCTGTACCCATGCGCCAGTGTAGTACCCATGCGCCAGTGTAGTAGCCACGGTCGTCCGCAGGCCACGAAGTGAAGTGTCCGAACGTCATAGGGCGGGAAGCTGGGTGTGGGTGGTGGCGAAGAGTCGTTTGGAAATGTGGTAGAGCTTGAACCGGCCCCCCCACAAAGTGGGGGTATTGGCGGGCGTCGTATGAAAACCCTGGCACTGGTGAGAACGGAGTGTCCCCACGTGCTAGTAATTGTTATTGTTGTTGTTGGTGTTGTTGTTGTTGTTGTTGTTGTTGTTGTTGTTGTTGTTGTTGTTGTTGTGTGTGTGTGTGTGTGTGTTTTGTGTGGGCTTCCTCCGCCGCGCCGGTGCGCGCGTGCGTGGCCGCGACGCCTAAAGGAGTGATTTGTTTTTCCTTCTCCCTCACTCTGCCCCTCCCCCCTGGAGGGCCGGAACTCCACGATCCCCAGCACGGACCCCGCTGGGGACCTCGAGGCCAGGCTCAAGGACGCGGCATCTCTCCTCCCCGCTTTTTTTTGGTGGGGGGGTGGGTCCCCACGGAGGGGGGTGTTCGACAAGATTTGGGGGTAGCGTTTCGGGTTCGAAGTTCGAGGTTTTCGGACGTTTTCGTTGGTCCCCGGCGGTTTTCCAGCCTCGGGGTGCGTTCCGGCAGCTGCGCTTCACCGCGAGCGTTCCGCGGGGGCCCCGATGGTCCCAAAAACGGCCGCCGCAGAGCCGAATCATGGCCCGAAGACCGGAGGGCAGCGTCAGGGGGGATAGGCTCAGGGAGGAGTGGATCGAACCCCAATCGCCGATTGATTCGGGGGTGGACAGACCTCCTGCCCTGACACGTCGATTAGCGAGTCGGCCGTTTTCGGTTCGCGAGGGGGCGTCGCGGCCGTCATTCCTGCGGGTCCAGGTCCGTCGGTTTCGGTCCCAGGCCGTTTTCACTAATGGGAGGTTTACTAAAGGGAGGTCTGTCCACCGCCGATAGATGGGGTCGGAGTAGATGGGGTCGGAGGATCGCGCCGCATCGCCGATGCATCGCCGATGCAGCTCGCCCACGTCGACGATGCATCGCCCACGTCGGCGATGCATCGCCAGCGTATCGCCGATGCATGACCGATGCATCGCCGATGGATCGCCGATGTATTGGCGATGCGGCGCGATTCTTCGACCCCATCTATTCCAAGCCCATCTGGGAGGCCTCTAAGCGAGCACCTCCTCAGACGGCCAGAGGCCTTCTTAGAAGTGATGCCGCCTCCTGAGAGGGCCTTCTTCTTCTCACTTCCCCCCCTCTCGCCGCCGACATGGCGGGGGCCACGAAGTCTCCCGGGAACTGATGGCCCCCTCGTCGCCTTTCAGCACGCCCCCTGGTCCCTGGCCCCCCCCCCCTCGTGCGCGCACTTGCCTGCGGCCATGACCTGCGAACGCCCCTCCTTGAACGCCCCCCTCTTGGACGCCCCAAAGGGCGGGTGAGGAGTGGGAGGGGGAGGAAGGGAGGGAGGGAGGGAGGGGGAGGAAGGGAGGTGGAGGAAGGGAGGGAGGGAGGCGGATTCATGGTGCAGGCCCTTTCCCACTCGCCGTAGGCAAGAGCTCCGTGGCCGCACGGTGCACAGAAGTGCAGCCTTCGGCCACGGCCTCGGATCGAGGTATACGACCGCGGTCTGATCGGGGAGGGTGCCCCAGGGTTCTTCGTGTTTGTTGGACGTCCTTGTGCATCCTGGGGGAGGGTACCCTCGAGTGATCTTGTGGCTTGGGCTGTTCTGGCCTGCGGAGGGTCGCATGTTCTTGAAGGATGCTCTTTTGTCCTCGGTCCGACCGTACAGTCAACCCGCACAGTAAGGACGGGCAGCCTTCCCAAGGGAACCCTTGCATCCTTGCCTCCTCGGGCCATCCCTGACCGCTTCCGCTGGCCGGCCGCGCCCCGCTCGCGAAGTGTCGACGTGGCCTTCCAGGGCCCTCCGTCTTTGCCGCGCATCCTCATTAACTGTGCGGGCTGACCGTACTGCCAGCTCTCGAGTCGACCCCTCCCTCCTCCGCCGCCCCGTCCTCCTGCGCTGGCCTCTCCGCTCCACGCGGGAGGCAGGGGCGAGGACGGCCTGCCGATCCTCGTGACTCCCTCTCTCGGCGCACGCCATGGGGCAGCCGCTGCGGCGAGACGCGCATGATTCGGGGGTGGACAGACCTCCTGCCCTGACACGTCGATTAGCGAGTTGGCCGTTTTCGGCTCGCGAGGGGGCGTCACGGCCGTCATTCCTGCGGGTCCAGGTCCGTCGGTTTCGGTCCCAGGCCGTTTTCACCAGGGGGAGGTTTACTGAAGGGAGGTCTGTCCACCGCCGACATGAGGCGTTCCAGAAAGGGCGTCGCCTTCGAGGATCGACGGAGCTGTCGTCGCTTCCTCGGCGGGGAGGTGGCGGGAGGGCGTCGGGAGGTCGGCGGGAGGAAGACGGGGCCGCCTCCGTCGGCGGCCGGCGGAAGCTCGGCGGAGGCTCGGCGGAAGGCGGCGGAAGTAAGAGATGCGCCCACAAGATTACTGGGCGCGTTCCACTACTCCAAAGTGCCCACAGTGGGGGCACGCATCAAAAAACCATGTGCTTTTCGTCAGGGTATCCTGGGTTTCTTCGCTCCGTCCGCTGCGCGATGACTTCCTGCAGCCGTTGAAGAAGCTGCTGCGTTCAGGGCGCTCCCGGATTCCAATCAGGCGCACCTCGCGCGCGGGTTTTCAGGGTTGGGTTCTTGCGAGGGTTTCGTGCGGCCGCGCCCTCACTCTACTTGCAAACGTCATAAAGAAACCTGTCTTCCTCGATGTTACTTGTCGTAGATCCCGCATGGTGGATCACGGCCATGTGCGAGTAGTTACCTTGCGAGTAGTGGAGCGCGCTCGTCCACAAGAGATGACACGCTTTTGGGTTCAGGGTTTCCGAAATCCGCCGCATAGAAGTCCAGCCTCGTGTGGAGTGCCAGAGCGTTTGGTCGCGATCCTGCTCGTGGCGCAGGAGACGGGGGTCGATGCAAACGGGGGTCAGTCAGAGCGCCAGATGTTGCAGGATCCTGCAGGGTCAGGGGCCCACTGGCCCGGATTTGGGTGCAAGATCTTGCAGGATCTTGCGGGATCCTGCGGGATCGTGCAAAGCCCGACTGACCCGGGTTTTGATTGACCCGGGTCAGTAGGTCTCCGATCTGTATCTTTGTTTCTTGCGGAAGCCGTTGCTTTGGATGAAGCTGTTGTCCGTTCTTGCACGGCGCGGCCGTCCCATCAGTGACTGGGGATTCGGGGAACGAGAGAGCGGGAATAGGACAGGATAGGACACCTCGAGCGGACAAGGCTGAGCCTTCCAGCAACGAGGGTTAGAGTCAACTTGTATAGTTAAGGACGGGCAGCCTTCCCAAGGCTACCCTGGCATCCTTGCCCCCTCCGGCCTATCCTTAGCCGCTCTCGCTGGCCGCGCTCCGCTCGCAACGTGTCGACGTGGCCCTCCAGGGCCCTTGCATCCCTCACCGCGCATCCTCATCATGCGGGTTGACTGCAGAGGGCAGACCCTGCACCGCCCATCGGCACAGGGCCCCTCCACAAACCAACAAGCCACAAAGCTCCTCCTTCAGCTCCTCCTCGGCATCCTCATCCTCATGGCTGTGTTCCCTCCTCCCAATCCTCCTCCTTCTCCTCCTCCTGCCTCCAGCCTCCAGCCTCCAGTGTCCTCCTCCTCCTCCTCCTCCTCCTCCAACCTCCTCCTCCTCCTCCTTCTACTTCTCCTCGGCATCCTCATCCTCATCGCTGTCTTCCCTTCTCCCAATCCTCCTCCTCCTCCTCCTCCTTCTCCTCCTCCTCGGCATCCTCATCCTCATCGCTGTCTTCCCTCCTCCTAACCCTCCTCCTCCTCTTCCTCCTCCTCCTCGGCATCCTCATTTCGCATAGGTGGCTCCCCGGCGGGGCCCGCAGCCGTTTTGCCCGCGGCGGCGCGGCGGCCCGTGCCGTCGGGGATGCCCCCCAACGCCAGGAGGAGGCGCGACGCGGTGACAGCCTCGCGCGAGTGCCGACGGGCATGTTGAGTGCGTCCCCGGGAGTGGTGTGGCGCCCGCGGAGGAGCCGAAGGCGCGCGGCGCGGAGGCTGCGCCTGGTGACTTGCCGACACACAGCAGTCGATTTCGTCTGGCGTGGCGCGCCGTTCGGCGCCAGCGACGGAGGCTGGGAGCCGATCGAGACGTGGCTGCAAGAGCCGAAGGGCGAGAAGGCTGCTCTGGCGGAGGCGCAGGCGCGCGCCATCAGGTACAGAGCTGGAATCAGGGCGTGCGGGAAAGGAGAAGCGAAACTGGAGCCAGGCATCGCCAGCTACAGCATGGGGATCAAGACGTGCGAGAAGCGAGAGGAAAGGACGGAGCCAGACACCATCAGCTGCAGTGCTGGGAGTAGGGCGTGCAAAGCAGTGGAAGGGAAGCTGGAGCCAGTCGTCGTCGCTCGACTGGCCCAGATTTGGGTGCAAGATCTTGTAGGATTTTGCGGGATCCTGCGGGATCGTGCAAAGCCCGACTGACCCGGGTTTTGATTGACCCGGGTCAGTAGGTCTCCGATCTGTATCTTTGTTTCTTGCGGAAGCCGTTGCTTTGGATGAAGCTGTTGTCCGTTCTTGCACGGCGCGGCCGTCCCATCAGTGACTGGGGATTCGGGGAACGAGAGAGCGGGAATAGGACAGGATAGGACACCTCGAGCGGACAAGGCTGAGCCTTCCAGCAACGAGGGTTAGAGTCAACCTGCATAGTTAAGGACGGGCAGCCTTCCCAAGGCTACCCTGGCATCCTTGCCCCCTCCGGCCTATCCTTAGCCGCTCTCGCTGGCCGCGCTCCGCTCGCAACGTGTCGACGTGGCCCTCCAGGGCCCTTGCATCCCTCACCGCGCATCCTCATCATGCGGGTTGACTGCAGAGGGCAGACCCTGCACCGCCCATCGGCACAGGGCCCCTCCACAAACCAACAAGCCACAAAGCTCCTTCTTCAGCTCCTCCTCGGCATCCTCATCCTCATGGCTGTGTTCCCTCCTCCCAATCCTCCTCCTTCTCCTCCTCCTGCCTCCAGCCTCCAGCCTCCAGTGTCCTCCTCCTCCTCCTCCTCCTCCTCCTCCTCCTCCAACCTCCTCCTCCTCCTCCTTCTACTTCTCCTCGGCATCCTCATCCTCATCGCTGTCTTCCCTTCTCCCAATCCTCCTCCTCCTCCTCCTCCTTCTCCTCCTCCTCGGCATCCTCATCCTCATCGCTGTCTTCCCTCCTCCTAACCCTCCTCCTCCTCTTCCTCCTCCTCCTCGGCATCCTCATTTCGCATAGGTGGCTCCCCGGCGGGGCCCGCAGCCGTTTTGCCCGCGGCGGCGCGGCGGCCCGTGCCGTCGGGGATGCCCCCCAACGCCAGGAGGAGGCGCGACGCGGTGACAGCCTCGCGCGAGTGCCGACGGGCATGTTGAGTGCGTCCCCGGGAGTGGTGTGGCGCCCGCGGAGGAGCCGAAGGCGTGCGGCGCG